GGCATCTTCCACAGAGCCTGGCATATAGAGGGCTTTGGTGGATGTTAACTCTGCCAAATGCAATAGCACAGCATATTGGTCTTTTAGAAGGTTTTTGGTATGAATATCTGCTGAGAGGTGATTCTCTACAGAGATTGTTTACTTCTGTGATTCCACCTCTCATATGGCCTTTTTTTTTTTTTTAACTTTGATCCTCCTGCCTCAGCTTACTGAGCTGATGGGATTACAGGTGTGTACCATCATGCCTGGCATTTATATTTTTTAAAAGGAAGGATAAAGATAAATGCCTAGTCTACACAAACCCTGTGGTTAATGTGTGTACCGATTTCACCTGATTCATTCCCGATATGATGCAGGGTAGACTTCTGGGTCCCCAAATAAAAAGATTCACTTGCAGTTTGTCAGTCTCTGTTTTTTGTCTGCCCTTATATGGACTTTCTTTTCTTTCTTTTTTTTTTTTTTAACTTTATTTATTTATTTAGTCATACATGACAGCAGAATGTATTTTGACATATAATACATATATGGAATGTACATACATCAATCATGTTGTCTATTCTATTCTGCTGCCCTTCCTATCCCCCCTACTCCTCCCCTCCTCTCCCATCCTTTCTCTCTATCCAACCTAATGTGACACACTTTTTTTTTCTTTTTCTCATCACAACATCATATATGTATTCTGTATAACAATGAGCTTCTCCTTCCATTTTCCGTGCAACTCCCCTTCTCCCATTTTTTTCCCTCCCACCTCTTTTCCCTATTTAATGGTAGTCTTATTCTCATTTTCTTCCTCCCTATCCCATTTTGAGTCACCCCCCTTATATCAGAGAAGACATTTGGCATTTGTTTTTTTAGGGATTGGCTAACTTCACTTAGCATAATCTGCTCTAATGCCATCCATTTACCTGCAAATGCCATGATCTTGTTATTTTTTAGTGCCGAGTAATATTTCGTTGTGTATAAATGCCACATTTTTTAAAATCCATTCATCTATTGAAGGGCATCTAGGTTGGTTCCACATTCTAGCTATCGTGAATTGTGCTGCTATAAACATTGATGTGGCTGTGTCCCTGTAGTATGCACTTTTTAGGTCTTTTGGGTATGGGACTTTCTTTTTTTAATCCACAGTGACCTGTCTCTTGATATGCCTTCCGTAAATCAAAACAAAACAAAAAAAAAAAATCCTAAGATGGTGTTTTACTTAAATGTGATAGTTACCTACTATATTAGTTTGCTAAGGCTACCATAGTAAAATACTTACAGACTGGGTAATAAAGAAAGCAAAGAAATTTATTTTCTTAGTATGGGGGCTACAAGTCTTAGGACCAAGGTGCTGACAGGGTTGGCTGTGACCTTTCTCTTGCTGTCGTTCCAGTGGTCATTTCAGAAATACTCTTGGTTTCTCTTTGTATGTCTTCATTTCTTCTTAGGAAACACTGGTCAGATTGGAATAAGGTCAACTCTAATGGCTTTGTTTTAAATCCATCTTTAACGGCCCTGTCTCTAAATACAGTTACATTCCAAGATATTGGGGAATAGGGCTTCAGCATATGATTTGGGGTGAACATAATTCAGTTTATAATACTCTTACCGCTGTTATAATAGTTACTTAGTGATTGCCTTCTGAGGTTTTTTTTTTTGGGGGGGGGGTGTCTGGCTAATTAGATGAATTTTGGGGGGAAAAAGTATTTTTAACAAGTAGGTTGGTTTTTATGAAGAAAGCATTGATTTTAGTCCATAGATCAAAAGCCCCAATGGTATATTATATAACATCTTTCAGTTTAGTTGTGCATTTTGTTAATTCATGTATGTATTCATATATTCACCGAATAATTAATGAAGTCCTCCAAGTACCAGTCAGTATGCTAGGAGTTAGCCATGCAGTGATGAGAATGACTACATAGTCCTGACATTGTTGGGTTAACCATCCAGTATTCTTAAAACATCTGGGTCTCTGGATTTTGAAGAGAACTGTTCAGGATAATATCTCTTATGAGGTACTGGTATTAGACCATGGTAGTTACAAGAACTGGTTTGCATTTTGGAAGTTAATTTTAAATACATTTTAGGTCTGCCTTATGTCTTCCTATGAATATGACCTTGAATAAATTATTTAACCCTCTTAAACCACTGTATCCTCATTTGTAAAAATAGGAGTAATATAAATATTTCATGGGTTTAGGTCATGATTGAGATAATGCATTTTATATGTTTAGTATCATACTTAGCACCTAGGAAAAAGCTACTAGTTTCTACTGGTTTCTTTTTTAAATATAGGAGTGAGACTTCATATGGGAATTGAAATTAAGAGACATCTAAAAATAACTATATGTAGGCTTCTAATAATTGGAGAGATCTTTTGTCAAAGCTTTGGAGTTTGTTTAAGTTATAAATCCTACCAGTTTCCAGAAAGGATTTAAACTAGCTATTTGGTTTAGGAGTATGTTTCAGTTTTGAGGTAATAGAAGAAACATTGAACTGGAATTAATACTGCCTTAGCATCAACTTAAGCTCTTCCAGTGAACTGGAGGATCTTGGGTGATCCCAAGAGCTAGCTTGGCCTGTCAGGTTATTCATCTGGTTTATATTAATTTAATTAGTAAATGGTTCCTTTGGTAGTGACCTTTAGGTGTTTTAGGATTGGTATATTAACCTCCAAATTCTTATAAGTTGAAAATTTTATTGTAAAAGCAGAAATATCATCTTTCTCCTACAGGAAATAATTTTTACTCCCTCCAGAGAACAATATTTAATATGTGACTTGATGTTTAGTTAATTCATTTATGGTGATTTCTTGTTTCGTTGGCAGTGTTCTTATCAAAGACACTGAAGTCTTAAGTTCTAAGACCTTAACTTTCTTAGATGGCTACTCTGTATTTGGAGCACATTTGGAAGGCCCTGTAAAAGTCTGTTTTAATTGATAAGAGCATTATATCTTTTCTTGTTGTAGTTGCTATTTTTGCTTTTTCTTGGCAGAAGGTACATGAACTTTTTAACTAGATGTATTATTAGAGCCACTTTGGTTATCCTAAAATAAGGAGATTTAAACAAAAGAACATCCTTTTAGAAGACTAGAAAGGTTAAACCCACGAAAATATACTCTGCTTCAATATTTCTGTTTGTAACATTCTGTTTTATTTTATGAAAAAGGTTACATATTTTAAATTTGTGTTACTACATAGTTTAAATACCTGAAATTAAGTACTGTATCTCAGAGTTTATTGATCTTGACTCTCAGCTGCTGTATGGTATTGACGAATATCGTATTTTCTAATATCACAATTTGTTAAGCCTTGAATTTAAAAAAAAAAATGATTACAAGGTGCAGATTTGTTTTAACTGTTTTGTAATTTCAAAACATAGACAACTTACAATGGAAGAAAATATTTACAAATTATATATGGCAAGAGATTATTATGTAGACTAGATAAAGAACTCCTACAGTTCAAAACAACTTGATTAGAAAATAGATGAAATAACATTTCTCTCCAAGAAGATATACTTATGACCAATAAGTGTATGAAAAGATAATACTATTATCTTTTCATACACTTATGAAACAATGGAACAATCTAGCAGTTCTATTCCTAGGTATATACCCAAAGAATTGAAGGCAGAGATAGATACCTGTATACTAATGTTCATAGTAGCATTATTCGTAATAGCAAAAAGGTTGTAATGACCTATATGTCCATCAGTGCATGAATGGATCAAAAAAATACATGATAATATACAGGCAGTCCTTGACTTACAGCAATTCAACCTAAGACTTTTCATTTTTACAATGGTGTGAAATCCACATGCATTGAGTAGAAACCATATTTAAAACATTTAGAAGTTTATCCTCCCACTGCCTCAATTGATACGCAATATGTTCAGCGCAGGCAGTGAGTTTCATCTTCCAAGTTCTCCATGAGACCAGAATAATTAATTCATATCCAACAGTGTATGTGGCTAAACTACAATGTTAAACAGATTAGGTGAATTCATTAAATGCATTTTTGACTTAGGGATTTTCATCTTATGATGAGTTCATTGGGAGGTAACCCTAAGCATAACCCTAAGTGTATGTACAGTAGAATGTATTTATCCATTAAAAGGACTAAAAGTCTATTATATTCTATAACATGGGTGAACCTTGATGACATTATGCTAAGTGAAATAAACCAGACACAAAAGGGCAGGTATTATGGGAATTTACTTATTTTAGGGATCTAGAATAGGCAAATTCTCAGAAAGTAGTAGAGGTTACCAAGGGCTAAGGGAAGAGGGAAATTGGGTTATTTAATGGGTACAGAGTTTCTCTTTGGGAGATGAAAAAGTTCTGAAATGATTAGTGTGATGATTACACAACATTAAATATACTTAGTGTCCGCAATGTTTACACTTAAAAATGGTTAAAAAGGTAATTTTTATGATATATACATAAATATATTAAAATAACCAACCAATCAAATAGTAATGAAATCAATTTATTCAGTTATTCTTTCTCAGTATCTTTTCCCCATAGATTTTCCTTCATTTATTATTGAAGAACTTGAATAGGTATCTCAAAGTTGTGTGGGTGCTTATTTGTTGTTTGAGATTGATTACCAATGAATTTGTATTGTCTTTTAATTATAACTAGTATGAATTTTTTTGCGGGGGGAGGGGCATGGGGTTTGGCCTCCAGCTTTTGGACTTAGGCAGTCTTCACACCTTCCACCTCTAGCCTTCTAAATAGAGGCTATTACAGACACCCAACATCATACACAGCTTGATAGTTTTTTCTGTTTTTGGTACTACATGTTAAATCCAGGAGAACTCTTATCACTGAGCTACTTAGACCTTTTTAAATTTATTTTTATTTTGAGATAGCGCCTAAGTAGCCCAGGCTGGCCTTGAATTTGCCATACTACTGCCTCAGCCTCCTGATACAGGCACGTAATCAGGCCCATATTGGTATGTTTTTTTAACATTTTTATGGCCAAAGTTTTTAATGGATCTCCTTTATTTTGCAGTTACTTCGAGAGCTTAAACATCCAAATGTCATCTCTCTTCAAAAAGTGTTTCTGTCTCATGCTGATCGGAAAGTTTGGCTTCTATTTGATTATGCTGAACATGATCTCTGGGTAAGGTGAATTGCTGGTAGAGATGAGCCACTGAATTCAGTCAAAAATTTTAAGAGTGAGTTAAAACAATTAGGAGCTAATCTAATTCCACTATTAGCTTTACATTTTTAAAAATAACACTTACCTCATAGAATGTGGCTGATATATTACCAAGACTAGAGTATTTTGCTTTGTCTGATAGATTGAGTGTACCTTATCTAAAATGCTTGTGACTGGAAGTATTTCAGATTTCAGCTTTTGTCATATATATATATAGAGAGAGGGGTTTGTATGAGTGTGTATATATATGTGTGTGTGTGTATACACACACATATATAATTGTTTTTAGTCTTTATAGTACACACACACATATATATAAAAGATATACGTGTTTGTGTGTGTGTGTGTGTTAGATATAGATATATCTTGGGGATGGATCCAATTCTAAATATGAAATTCACGTTATATAGCGCCTGAAGATAATTCTTTCAGTATTTGTCATAATTTTGTGCATGAGAAAAGTTTAATGCTGTGGAATTTTCCACTAATGGCATCTTATTGACACAAGAGTTTTGGATTTGGAACATTCTGGATTTCACTTTTTGTTTTAGGGATTCTCAACCTCTACTACTTTTTGATCCTCTCAGTTTGACCTTTGTATCACATATTTTTTTAAAAGAATAGAATCTAAAGCCTGTAAGTGCTATTAAATATTATTTTATTGTTGTAGTTTTTATTAAAAAGGCAGCTTTTGCTATAAACTTAAAAGCAATATGTTTCCCTTGTTTTTTGAAGTATGAAGGAGTTTAAAAATGAGAAGTTAGTCATGATTGTGTTAAATCATGAATATAAGTCTGTCATTTTCCCTGTCTATAATATTGTCTTTTGTGTTAGGGTTTTTCTGAAGAGTGGTTCTGTGTTTGTCAGATTTTATGAACTAAATGTACTATACAAATGTAGAAAACTACTCTTAATCATTTATTAGATATCATTCACTATTGATATTTGATAGTCTAATATATTTTTAAATCAGCAGTAATTTAATATTGTACTTAACTTGAATTGGTCTCTTCTTGCGTAGGAAAAATTCTTTGCAGATGAGAGCTCTACCACAAGATGACAGATCAGTATGAAAATAGATTCTACCATGGCTTGTGGCTTTTAGTTGTAAAACTTTTAGATATTCAGACCCAATTTAATATTTAAAGATTTCTCAAAATCAAGGGACTGTAGTTTATTGGGTTAGCTAATACAATGAAAGAATGATACTAAATTGGAAAAAAATTATATAAGAATTTGGATATATTTTGTCTAAATAGCTGAATACAAACACCTACTTTAATATTTTGCAGTTTACTAAGCAAATTGTTTTTAAAATTGGTATTTGAAAAAGTCTTAAGATTTAATTGTAAAATTTATTTCTCCAACACATGAGCCTTTCGGGAAACACTCCAAATTCAAACTGTAACATTTTGTGAACTATATTTTTTCCTGATATTTAAGAAGCTCTTTAAATATTTCATCAGATTGCATACTAATCTGTATTTCCTAAATTAGCATACCTGTGCTTTTATTGAGATAAATATAAGAGAGAACATATATAGTGATGTGCAAATGATCATAGTATCATGGCTTATTTTCCAGATCTTCAAAAACTGTTTTTTGTTTTAAGTCAGCTGTAGTTTGTAATGTGTACAGAAATCTTGGAATAAAACTAGAACAAATATCAGTAAAATTATTTTAAAAAGCAAATTTACCTCTGAAAATAGTAAAATGGGTCAAAATAGTAAAACAGTTTCAAGCTGTTTTACTAATTTCAAGAGTTTGTCTCACTTATATAATTTTAACTTTAATAGTTTTAAAACTTGAAACTTAGATCTGAGTTTTATATGCTTTCAGATGTACACAAAGAATTATTCACTATTTGTGGATTACCATTTTTCATGATTAAATTTGATTTGATATAAAATTTTTTAGAAGTTATCTGGAAAGAACTGTTTGAGAACAGGAAGTAGACATGTTTTATGAAACTTGTCCATAGTGATTATTCTTTTTTGAGGTGATAGCTTCTTTTTTTATTTTAGAAGAAATGCAGTCAAGTAAAATTGGGATTTTATTAATGAAAATTTGTTAAGTCAGGGTGGCTATTATTGAATACTCATACTACTGATGCCTGACATGAAATCCAATCTTATGATCCAAACCTAAGACAAATTTTCTTAAGGTAGGTTTGTAGATATAATTTGTAGTATACTATCATAGACATTAGTAGATAATGTTGAATTCAGCATGATTTCTAGCTGGCTGGTGTATAATATTTAATTTTACATGCAGGTACAATTATTATACTTCAGTGAATTATATAGCATAAAAGTATGGTATGTGTAGAGTTTAGCTTTATTTTTTCAACTAACTAATACTTGCTAAAGCCAAATAAGTATTCTTAATGTTCATTTTCATAAAAAACTAATGATAATTCACTTTACTAAAACCCATACCTTTATCTGTGTTCTAATTTTAATTAAAATGTTGAAGTGAATAGGCTGGGTTAAGGCAACATAAGTTAGCAAAGCAGTTGTAATAAAAAGGCTGTTTTAAAAAGTAACTTAGAGGGCTGGGGCTGTAGCTCAGTAGCAGAGCACTTGCCTAGCATGTGTGAGGCACTGGGTTTGATCCTTAGCACCACATAAAAATAAAGAAAGCCATTCTGTCCTGTCCATCTACAACTACCAAAAAAAAAAGTAACTTAGATATTGGTGAGATCTCATATTTTATACATCACATGTTTATTGTAGAGCCCTGGAATTTAAAGAAAATGAAAGTAAAAAAGTATTTTCCCACCCATAGTTTCCCGTAGCTTTATACTATTGATTAAAATAGAAAAGTCATTTATAATACTCTAATGAAAGTGTGTACTGAAGAAATGTATATGAAATTAATGATCTTATCTCACTTACATACTTGTTCCTTGCATTCTTATTCTGGCAGGATTTTAAATTTTTTTTTTTGTACATGATCCATTTTAACCTTTTTTAATGAAATGTGGAGAGCCAATGGGTCTTCTTAAGGAAAACAGACTTGATTGTCACATCATTAGGATAGGGGACAAAATGTTCTAGATCATTAAGTTGCTATGCCTCCATTTTGTTTATCAAATACCTTGAGAAAAAGACTGAGCATAAACTTAAAATAGTATAATGCTACTATTAAATTATAGATGAAGCACACTATATATATTCTGACTGATAATACTTTACTTTCTACTCATGTATTCTCTGCTGTATATTTTTTTCTTGTAAAGTAAAACTTACTCATTAATCATTAGTTATTCCTTATCCATCTGTATTCTCTATAACATATGAAAATGTTAATATATAATGTTAAGCTTACTCTTATTATGTTTATTAATTTGAAGAGCATGCTTGATATTCACTAAATACTGGTCAAGAGTCTACTTTTTTGCAATATATGGTACAAGGTATATCTGTAATAGTGTGTGAGGCATACTTGCTTGAAAATTTTCCTGAAATTTAAGAATATTTTAATTAAAATGAAGCAATAAAAAATTTTGCTGATAAATTTATTTATACTGTAGTTTTTGCATTTTGTATTGTGTATTTTATTGAATATTATTATGCTTTAGTGAATTATAGTTAGCTGCTATGTCAGCTAACTAGAAGTATCTTTGTTATTTTTCATTTTCATTTAATCCCCATATAAACACGGGTCAAGTATTCTTCGAAAGTAATTAAATTTTAATTATACTTTAAAAATAAAAGCACACTATTTTCTACTTTTCTGTTTTTAACATTTTTTTTTCCCAAGACACTATTGTATACTTGGGAAATAGACTTTTAGCTTCAGTAATTAGGGAATTTTATAGTTATTTTTTAATTCAGCAGAATGTGAAATAATGCTTTCAGTATCTTTCAGAATCCCTGAGTGTTTCTTTTTTTCCTATGAGAATATTCACATCATCTTGCCCTCTTTTCTTTTCCAAGCTTCAAATGATATTTTTTCTTTCTTTCAGCATATAATCAAGTTTCACAGAGCTTCTAAAGCAAACAAGAAGCCAGTTCAGTTACCTCGGGGAATGGTGAAGTCACTATTGTATCAGATCCTAGATGGAATTCACTACCTGCATGCTAACTGGGTGTTGCACAGGGATTTGGTAAGTTGATCTATGTTGTGTTCATACTAGAAAGATGCAATTCTAGTTGGATGCATTTCTAGTTTGTCTGTAGATAACAATGTTATAAGAAGGCATACAAACATTATTGAGGGAATGAGTGCAGCAATCCCAAAACATGGCCTACCTTTGTGCTTTTTTATGTAATGTATCCTACTTCTCTGACATTCACTAGCTGGTGTTTATTGCAAGGTGAAAGAAGACAAATTTGTTATTCTAAGCTGTTATTTCTTTTTAAGTCGATAAATAAAGCCATTGACTTGTTCTGCATCCATTATTAGATTCCAAGGATACTCTCTAAATTTTAATGTTTTATGAATAATGTGAAAGTAAAACTGTTGGAATCTATTGCATACTATTACATATTAGAGGAGAAAAATTAATTTGATCAGCTTATTTTTTAACCCCATATATTAGCAGTCCCCATATAACCCCATAAGTGTAAACTCCATAGCTAAAAGACATTTTTGTGCAAGGAATCAATAATCCTTTATTAATCATAATTGAAATATATTATTAGAAGCCTTGCCATGTTCAGGTTCATTCAACTTTTAAGAATTTAGAAACTTCACAAATTGGCTTTTTAATTTTTACTTCATGTGACAAAATAGTTTATGCGTATTTTTACTATGTAGCATATTATTATTCATTTAATCTTCTTAGGTTTAAATTACTTAGACCTCAGATTAATTTTATTATTGTGTAATTGCATGTGCTTTTGAAAAGGTAGTAACTCTAGCAAGATTTATAATAGCACTTTATTTCAGCAATTAGAGACACAATGATAGGAGTGACAACAGTTTTGTTTTTAACCATATTTGTACATAGACTTGAGGTAGAACTGACTTGCGGGGGGGCTGGCATATGATGTTCTTTTCAATCTGCTCTGTACTTATTGTAGCAGTAGTTCATCTGGCCTTCAGATAAGCTGATACAGTAGCAGAATTTCTATTTCCTTCATCTACCTTAAAGGAATTGCCTTATAGTATATTTAATAATAATTGTTTTATCTTTTGTTTTCATACTCATAATATATGTAGAGTAGGACTTTGGATGAACTATTTTTCTTACGTAAATGTCATTTTTAGTAGAATTAGAACGCTCACCAATAATGGTTTTACAGAACAGAAGACTAATATTTTGTGTTTTTTGAAGTTGAAAATAAAATTTAGCCTTTAGTAGTGGAGTCAAGTTAAGGAAAACATTTTGCTTTTGGGCTGCCAGACTTTTTTATCATTTCATAAGTGTAAACTCCATAGCTAAAAAGCATTTTTGTGTATAGAATCAGTTATGCTAAGTTGGCTCTATAATTTTTTCTTGTAATTTTATTCTCTTAAAAATATGTATGTTTATTAGAGAAACAGACTGATTTTTTTCAAACCAGTATTTACATTTTTATGTTAATAGTGTATAATATATTTGAAGTACTTATAGCAGTATTAATTAACAATAGTAAAAATAATTTTGAGGTTCAATTTCTTTTATCTCTTTTTTGGTATAGCTCTTTATACTAATGTAGCTTAAACCAATTCTCTTTGACATAAGGGAAGCACAGAACAGATCACTTAAGAAGTCTGTTAGAGGCATATTAAAAGGTAGGAAAAGCTGAGAATATAGCTCAGTGGTAAAGCACTTCCCTATTGCATAGGACTTTGGAATCAATCCCTAGTAATACAAAACAAACACATAAGAGATAAGGACTTGGGGGATCAGTGCACTCTAAGTATAGGCAACAAAGGATTACCTATCAATGATTTTTAAATAATAATAAAGTAAATTAAAAGTTATTGCTTTTTATTGTCACCAGATGTTGGCAACACTAAACAGTATCGATGACAATGGGCTGGGGTTCTGGCTCAGCAATAGAGAACTCACCTAGCACATGCAAGGCCCTGGGTTTGATCCTCAGCACCACATAAAAATACATAAATAAAGGTATTGTGTCCAACTACAACTAAAAAATAAATATTAAAAAATAATATCAGTAACAAAATATTTCTCTTCAGTGAGGCCAACCATTCCTACTCTTCTGTTATCTTTGCAATTTGTCTTATTGATCCAAAATTATTTTCGCAAATGGTAATGTAATATCTATTCCTTTGATTGCTGTACATTAAGTGATATTTCCTGTATTTTCTGTTCATGACTTCTTAATGCTCTCAGCACCTAACCGTTCTGTGTGTCTCATACACACAGAGAACACTGAGTCGTTTATCTGCCTCTAATATAGACAGGTTCGAGTACCCACCACCTTTTGAATCCAGTTTCTCAAGAAAAGACTTGTTTTTAAAAATGTGAGCCCTTAGTGTAACTGAGCTTTGGAATTTTGTGTTATATAGTTTTTCACCTGTAGATACTTATGATACTAATTAAGATAATAACATATTTACTCTTTTTTATGGGGGCTACTGGGATTTGAACCCAGGGGAGCTTTACCACTGAGTTAAGTTCCCAGCCCTTTTTAGTTTTTATTTTGAGACAATGTCTTGCCAATTGCTTAGGGTCTTGCTAAATTGCTGAGGCTGGCCACAAACTTGAAATCCTCCTGTCTCAGCCTCCCAAGTTGTGGAATTATAAGCATGCACCATCACACCTGGCTTTATATTTACTTTTAAGAACATTTTCAGAAGTCTTTTAACATTTTTCTAACTTTGCTTTCTCAAATTTGTTATTATTTGCATATTAAATATTTACCGTATCAGAACAAATAAAATGAACAGTTCTTTCGTTATATTTTCTTCTCATTTTTAGTCAGATATGAATAAATTGTGGCAATGATGACTTTAATTAATCTCAGTAGATTTCAGAAGGTACAAATTAGACTAATTGGTTGAGGTATTGACATGCCACAGAAGCTACATACTAAGGTAGATAATTGGTGCACGCGTGCGTACACACACACACAAACACACACAAAACACCATTTTAATAATATCCTAGAATGCTACTAAAATTTTTGTTTAATAAAATTGGGTTTAGTATGAAGAGGAAATATTGCTTTGAGATGGTAAAGTTATGAAATTCTTTGATATGTATAGTTGAGTTTTATAATTAATAGTTCTCTTTATTAAATAAAGATTTATCTTGTCACTATTAATCATGACATAGTAGCAGATCGGTAATTAAAATTTGTTATCCTTAGTGGTAAATAGAGATTTCTTAATTCTGGAATCCTTTTGGGCTGAGGGTGTTAATGAGGGCATATGTGTAAGTGCTTCTTCTTTTTCTGTGGTGCTGCAGATTAAACTCGCCTTGTACATGATAGGCAAGCTCTCTACCACTGAACATACCCCTAGTTCTTTTTTTTTTTAATATTTATTTTTTTAGTGTAGTTGGACACAATATCTTTATTTTATTTATGTATATGTGGTGCTAAGGATCGAACCCAGGGCCTCGCACTTGCTAGGCGAGTGCTTTACTGCTGAGCCACAATCCCAGCCCCCAAACCCCTAGTTCTATATGGATTTTTTTAGAAGAGTCTAAAAAGGAAGCATGGGTAGTATTTATATTTTTGTGAGGTAATTTATAGATCCAAACCAACTTATTAGTTTTAGAATATGTGTATGTCTGTAAGTTGTTGACATTTAATCTGTTTGCTATTAAATAGGGATAATTAAAGACAAAGGTGTTTGTTAAGTTAGGTTTAGTATTTCTCTTGACTAGTCTCCCTTTTTTCCTTTTACTCTCTTCTCCTAGAGTATTGAAAATAGTTTGGCTAATAGTTAATTCTGTCATTACCATCTGTATTAGGGTTCTCCAGAAAACAACCAATAGGAGGTATGGATGTGTGTATGGAGAAAGACAAGAGGTTGAGAGAGATTTTAAGGAATTGGCTTATGTCATTATAGAGGCTTGGTGAATCCAAAATCTGCAGGGTAGGCTGCATCATGAAGACCCAGGAAAGATTTGCAATTCAAGTCCAAATATTGCTGGTAGAATTCCTTCTTGTTTGTGGATGGTCAGTATTTGTTGTTAAGAGCCTAATTAATTGGACAAGGCCTACTCACATTAAACAGGTATATTAATCAGCATCATGTTACTATAATGAAATACCTGAGATAATTAACTTATAAAGGAGAAAGGGTTTGTTTTGACTCATAGTTTTGGAGCTTCCAGTCTAAAGTCAATTTAAATTTTTCTTCCTTTTTAATAGGAGGATTTTAATTATATAATAGTGGGATTCATTGTTACATATTGGTATACATATGTAACATAACAGTATAATTTGGTTAGTTTCATTTCCCTGTACCTCTCCTTTTCTTCCTTTCCTCCCTCTCCTCCCTTCCCTTGGTCACCTTCCCCTGGTTATTTTCTGAATTTATTTCTGATATTACCTGGTGTTTTTTCATATCTGCAGACATATACAAACTCTGTTCCATTTCTTCTTTTTACTACCCTTTTATCTCTGCTATGATTTATTCAAGTAAAATGGTACACAGAACCTTTTCTTTTTCCACTCATACTACATTTTAAATCCTCCAGCTTCCTTCCTTGTACTATCTAAAATAACTTAGTTCTTACAAGTTAATTCAAAAATCATTGGAACATTGCTGTCATAGTTCACATACATCCCTTGTTTTATCCAAAAACATCTTAAGGTTCTTTGTAAATTGCTTTTTAATTACAGATAAGGTGGCATTGTATATCTTCTAAACATACCAGCTCTTCTGCACTTGTAATTCTCATATTTAACTTTTATAGTACATTTAAGCAATCAGTTCATTACTCTTCATAATATGAGTACTTTAATTTCTAGCTTAGAGTTTGTTTTTCAGGATGCTTTTGTTTTGTAATTTTATAATGCTTTCATTGCTATAGTTTGATATTCATGCACTTACATCAGGTCTTAAAAATAGTTCACACTTAGTGTTAAAGACTTGGACTTTTGACATATTTTCTACAAAATTAAAAGTAACATTGTATTTTTATGATTGGCCTATTAGCCATTAATTTTTAAATTAGAGTTCTCCAGTGAGAGAGAA